AAAAAAAAAAAATAAAATAAACACATCATGGTAAAATTAATACCTTCTCAGCTTCGCATCGAAGCTAAAAAATACAATTTTCTTTTTTTTAAAGTATTTTTTTCTTTGCTTGATTATTGGCAAATTCTTCAATTATGTCGCTATAATTAATCTGATGAGTTAATTGAGATCCAATATTTAAAATTGCCAATGCATTTAGTCTGTGGATATATTTGACCTTAGATATGTTTTTATACGTCTAAGTGTTGAAAATGACCCCTCTGCGGTACAATTGGTCGCTGGAGTACAAAGAAACATACGTAATGCTATACTTACAAATGTTTAATAAACAATTTTAAAACCAATATTAATAAAAAAAATATTTATGTATATTGTGCAGTTTTAACTAATACAATTTCTAAATAATATATTTATTATTATTTATACAAGACTAGTAACAATTACAAATAATTTAAACCGTATAGGTAAAAATAATAAAACTTACCTTATTATATAATATAATATAAATTTTATATAGTAATATATCATATGACAATCATCAATGTATCAATTCATCACACTTTCATAATGCATACACAGTACACACATGACGCATAAGCAAAACACATAAGAATTAAATATAATATAAGTCATAAGTGTATAACGTACTAATAAAAATATATTAATACTGTTGTCTGTCACAATATACAATGCAATACCATTAAATATCGATATCACTAAAAAATTATCATTGTTTTGATTTATTCGGTAAAATAGTTGACCAATTTCTAAAATTAGAATTTTTCTGAATATCTTTATCATCTAGCTATTATAGTTGATTGTAGACAATAATCACGGACCAATAATATACTATATATATACTACATATCTTAGTTCGTAGCAATAATACAGCTATATAAACAGTAGTTCATAAAATTTTTCTAAAATACAAATTACAAAAATATTAAATAAAATGCAATTACTTTTTTTTTTCATTACATTTTTAAAATAAATTTTGCTAAAATAGTTTGCCGCCCCCGGGCATATGCCTACCCGTGCCACCCCCTAAATACGGCCCTAGGTATTTCTAATAAAATTTTGACCGGCGCCTATAAGAATTACAGACGTTGAAAATAAGTGGCACCCTAATATATATATATAAAGGGAAATTAAGTTATTTTTAAAAAAAGTATGTCGTATGAAAGATGTATATAAATATTATTTCTCCTAAAAAAATTGTATTGATCTATACATTTTTCAACAAGTTATAGCATAATAAAGTTAAAAATGTAAAATATAAAATTGAGAATTTCACACAAAAATGGCATTTGGTAGCCATTTTTACCATGAAGACAAAATTAAGAAATTTTTTTTCCATAATAAGGTATATTACATTATCTTTAATTTAAGATATATATATATAAGTGTCAGACTTTACGGAACACTTTCAAAAGTTAAATTTTTGTGAAAAAGTTGTCATTTTTAATCCCCCCTTGTGGGCAGGTAAAGGGTCAGATTTATAAAAATATATATTACATGAAAGGTAAAGACATCAAGCATCTATAAAAAAAAAACTATATTGATATGTTCATTTTTGAAAAAGTTATGGCAGTTTTAAGTAAAAAAAATTGAAAGAATTTCGAAAATTAGCGATTTTTAAATTTATAATTTTTTTGAAGATTTCCCCCATTTACGGGGAACGAGGGAAATTTTAACCTATTTTTTTGGTTCTTTAAAGTTGATGAAAAACTTTTGATAAAGATTTATGAAAGTTTATAGTAAAATAAA